CAAGGAAACAAAAATCCAGGCAAGTGAGACTACCAAAATTCCCTATCAGGTTACACATGAAACAGAGATTATTAAAACCTAGAGATCAGCAACAGGACGCTTGTTTTTCCCTATCCTTGCCCAGCTATGATTTTCTCTAGCTGAAATATGAAAAATAAATTCTTTAAAATATCAAACTAAAGGAAAGACCACAAGAGAGGTAATAAGTCCATTAGACCCCCCAGTAATAAAGAGGAAATAAAACAGGATAAGATTGTTTCATAAAAATAAGTTATTTTTTTACATGAGCCTTCAGAAACAAAGATGAGAATACTTGTCCTGGGATTACTTTTTCCACAGAAAGCAGAATAAGGTTAGAAATAGAGAGGCTAAAAAAACCTTTGTGAAATTAAAATAGCAATTAAGGCACTGCTTCTTCAGTTAAATTAGCCACATGATGAAGACATAGGCCACTCCCTGCAGCAGGAGATCCTGCTTTATTCACCTTAGGTTTGTCCCAAGGTGTTTGATGAGGGCAGAAGGAAAGAAAAGGCTTTGAAAAAAGTTCCATAAGCCTAAATCCCAGAAGCACATGTCTCTCTTCCATCCCCAAAAGGGGAAAGCTCCAAACCCTCAAAGTGACTAACCAGTGTGCCTCAGCTCTAATGCAGAGGCCAGAAGCAGCAGCAAGAAAAGACTGTTTCTTGTTCACAACTGTTTGGTTATGGACTCATCTGCAGAAATGATAACTAGTACCATCTGTGGCGGCATTTTTTAGGGAGAGGAGAAGTCAAGCCAGAACAAAGTCTGGCTGCATAGACTTCTGAAAAGCTGTCAGCTGCCTGTATACTTTACAATCGCAACTCACCCCGGACACATTTCAAGTTAGTGACTGGTTCCATGACCTATCCTAATCCTTTAAACCGCCCAATCGTTTAAGTAACCAGGCTTCATCTTGGTTTCAATAATAACTTATTAGGAAATCATTTAAGGAATATTAGGAAGTCTTTAAGGAAAATGAAAAAACAACAACGACAACAAAAACACCACCAACAAAAAAAACCACACACACACAAAAAAACAAACAAACAAAAACAACAAACCATCACCCACAGATCAGACATTGAGTAATCCTACAGACACCTTAAGAAAAATTGCCTATCCTATTTTAAGCTGCTTTCTGTGCAATACATAAAAATGTGCTGAAGTAACTCATTGTAAAAGAAGATAAGTCTTTATACGGAAATGGAGGTCCATTCACATCCATGTTTTCACAAGATGCTTGAGGAATGCATGCACCTTGACCTGCTTCCTGTGGTGCTGTGCTGACTCTGGTATGCTTATGCTGGAGCCCAGCAGAGGCTCAGCATGGGTAGATGCAGTCTGCTGATGGTGGTTTTATTGGGATTGAGAATGGTTTACAACTGAATCTTGTCAGAAATGTTCTCATTAATTCCTCCCCACATTAAGAAAATGCAGATTTCGATCTTGTTGCCTCCCTTTCCCAGTTCACAGCCTGACAACCCTGAACTCCAACCTCCCAATTGTCTTCTGCATTCTAGAGGTGGTTTTATCCAAACTCCATTCTCTCGCTACTTCTAGACCCATCTCTTCATCTCTGCCTTACTTGTTTTTGCCCTTTTTAGAGCTTCTACTATATACATCTTCAGACTTCTCACAGCAGGTTGAAGTTGAGTGTTAAAGTGAAGGAAGAGTAAGAATAGGGTTTGACCTGCTGCAAGCTGTTTCCGATGCAATACAACATGAAGACAGAGTGTCACCCTACAAATTACACTGAATTTTAATCTGTTCTCACTCTGATTATACACAGTGAGGTCTGTGTTATGAACTCTTACATTCTTCCCCACATCCAAATGCATTGCTATAATTGAAGGCAGAATTAAGTTCATTCATCCCAAAGCAATCCCCTGCCCACTTGGTGCTGTATCGTATTTTCTACCTTCACTGGTAGTATGTCGTTGGGCCAAGAATATATTACTTATTTTGGCAGATTTCTTTAACTCCAGATCAACCATACACGCTTACAGTGCTGCACAGTCACCATGATGCAATTGTAGTAGAGTGGCCAAACACATATGAAATGTCTATATAAAGTAAAATTAACTCACTGTCTCTATACCTCTGCTCACATTGTAGCAGTTGCTTTTCTGATTCCACAAAATAACCTCTTTATTTCTCCTCTTCAACTCAGAAGCTTTGTTTCTCTGTCTGTTCTTACCACTTTTTTTTGATCAGTAGCCATAACCTACAATTGAAATGGAACAACTGGATATGGTGCAGGTGAAAATAAAGTATCAAAACACCAATATTTATCTAGAAGTAAGTGATGTAAGTCACTAATTTCCACAGAAAATAGGACTACTCTCCTGCAAAACTCTTACATGAAAAGGAGAATATTCAAGGCAAATCTTAATAGGTATCAGTACATTGTTTTCCAAATAGGATATTTTTCAATTTTACTTTGTTATGGAGAAATAACACATATATTTGAGAGGTACCTTTTTATAGAAGGTATTCTGAACTATAGCTAAACCAAAGACTACAACTCTGTTGAAGGATCTCTTCAAAAGTCATATCAGTGGTTGGATTCCCTGTTGAATAGAAATGTTCCATCTCCGAGCTGTTTGTTTCTGCCTTGGCCTCCATCTTGGGCCACCTCTGTATGAAAACAGACAGTTTTCACAGCACACACTCACAACTGATGACTATTTGCATTGTCTCTCTCTATAAAATACCAACACCATCACCTCTCCTTTGGATTCACACACGGGAGCGAAGGGAATAAAAAGCTTTTGTGACCTACAAAAGCCTTACTTGAAATAATTCTCTACGACTTCAGGCCTTTTGGAATGGAAGGGATATATTGTTTTGACTTGATTAAAGCTGAAAAGTTGATTTGACATCCTGTTGTCAAGGAAACCAATTCACACACAAAAGAAAACAGTTGTGATGGTATCATTCAGACTATTCAAGTGACCTTAGAAAGAAAAAAAAGGCTTCAGTTCCAAAGATTTGTATTCAACTCACTTCACCACTGTAGAAATAAAGATCATTGCTCTTTATGCTTATTGGAAAGCAGTTTTCAATCTGGGAAAAGAAAAATGCCACATCTTCTTCCATCTGCCAGATCCAATACTTTGCTGGGACTATAAAACATAAACACACCTACCATTTATTTGCCTATTTTAAAGGACCACAGAAAGAATCATACAGAAGACTTATGGGGAAAGAGAAGGAATTTTTTTAGTTGACAGGACTATGACAAATATCCCCTGACACATACCACACCTATTGAACAGCAGCTCATGAGCCAGGTTTTAAAACATCCTCCTTCAACTACACATAGACCTTACCTCGAACACAGCATTGTTTGCATCCAGCTTTGTTTTCCTGGGAGATATCAAGCAGCAGCATTCTTTTTCTCTGCCAGCCTCCTAGGTCCCTCACAAATTGAGTTTTCCATGCACGCAATAAATGAAGTATACCTGTGCTCAATCTGCTCACACTTCCTGCCTACAGAATCCCAAGAGGCAGAACTGTCCTGGTTGACCACTACCACCATCATCCAGCTTTGCAGTCCATGCAGGTCTCACAGAGATTTCATTCCCTAACAGCTCTGAGTAGACTGGAGAAATGAAACTTTCTATCTGCTCACGCACTGTAATTATACATCTCTTTCTCCAATGACACAGCCTCTGCCTGGCTGAGTGAGCAGACAGATGACTAAATAGCAACTTGTCTCAAATTCAGCTTAGGAAAAAAAGAGGCATGATATTAATAAGGAGGGAAATATACTGAAGAATGAATGCCAGTGTTCTTACATTATTGTCATTTAAGGGCATCACACCAAAGGTCACGGAGATAATATGCCTCAGTCATTTTCCATTTGTTACACAACATACAAATTGCCACAGCATTAATGAATATCTTCTCCCATTCCTGGCCAGCCAAGACACTGTATTATTTCCTCTCAGACAAGCACCTAACCCTTGGAATTCATTATTTCCATCACTTCTTGCAGCACTTTGTCCTTAGGGCTGAGCATAAATGCCACAAGGCGGCTGTGACTGGAGCATCAAATGCTTCGTATGCCTGAGTCTGACTTCTTTCTGCTAGAGCTTTTTTGCTGGAAGAGCATACAAAGCGTGTTGGTATCTTTTACGATCAAATATGTATACACACAAACATTCATACATGCTCTCTTACAAGTGTCTTAAAGCCCTTGCAGACCACAGGGGGAAAAAAAAAATGACATTTTCTGCACTTTGTGGATATTGCTTGATAGCTATATATTGAAATAATAGTTATGCTACAAATACCAAATAACCACAGCAATAGAAGCTACCACGAAATAACTGCATTTCCACTTAAAATGATGACAACTGGAAAGTAGTTCTTGGAACAGAAATGACATTCACAGAAACGTGGAAGGGCTTCTATGAAGGGATATACTGCTTAAGCCCTCTTTACTCCTAATAAACTGCTAAGATAGCAGAGCTGAGCTATATAGAGCTATAATAGAGAGGAATGCCTCATTTCTAATCTATACTTCATTGTATTTTAAGTTGAGGAATTTTGCATAAATATAGATAGGAACAGCTGAACCAAATTCCTACTTTTTCATAAACTAAATGAGGGGTTTTTTAAGATGACAAATTATTATTTCCACTGTTCACTGTAAGTATAAAGAATATCCAGATGAAAAGAAAATATTGAAGGCTGGTAGCTTTGTACAGTTCTGAAAAGGACTAAACTTTATGTGCATAATTAAAATAAGAAAGAGAAGAATGAAGTCCAACACCAAATGATGAACTAAAGTAAGGCAAGAGTACTTGCTACATGTAATCAAACCACCTCCACCTCTGTCCCCCAGGCTGAAACAGTGCACTCAGAATTTTAATGAACATCTTATCTTGGTATTTTCTCCTCTCCCACCCAACAAACTCAAACAGCAAGAGCCAGCCAGGAAAGAAGAAAGCTGATGGCACTGCTAAGCTTACCCACAAACAGGTCCATATTCTGTAATGAGTTTTGTGTGGTTTTCCCAAAAACCCTGGAGAAAAATAAAAATAACAAAGAGGTTTAGAACAGTACTTAACAGAAACTATTACTCATTGCTACTAACACTCACAAAGAGCTCTGAACCTCATCCAGGGGAACCATGGCATAAACTCATAGCCTCACGTTTCTCTCATTGTCCATATGTGCCATGCATAGAGTCCAGAAATTACGACTGAAAACGAAAAAAAATCCCAACCCAAAAAAATACCTGGAAAGCCATGAAACATGTTTTCATCGAGGTTTTACACTCCAAAATCTGTTATCATTTCATGATTTATTTTTTTTTAAACTAGTTTTTTCACTGGGGTCCTGACTCAGTTTTTTTCAGATACGGGAATGGATGGACAAACTGACAGAGAAATTAACAGAGAAATTAATACGTGATTTAAGGTACAAAAGAGAAACACAGGGAATCTGGTGAGGTCATCTTGATTTGGTTTTAGTCACATTACTTAAAAAAACCCACGCAAATCTGCAAAGTCAGAGTTTAGCACAAGGCAGTCACCTGAGACACTCTGCAGAATAGTAAGTAGATAAATTTTAAAACATTTTTAGAATATTTACTGCATTTCATTGTCATAATTGATGCAAATTGGTAGACATTTATCTAAATAAACCTGCCACTATATTAAATTGTTAGTGTCCTAAATGGATTCAAATTGATTAATCTAAAGAAGGTGTGCAAAATACATCCCCAAAAGTGAACATAAAAAAAAATCTGGTTTAATGAAACTACAATATTTGAGAATCATGCTCCATTGTGTTTGTAACCTGTCTATGGAAAAGACAACACATTTAACTGCATTAATCTGCATTTCTTTCAATTCAAGAAAGTCTATCACAATCTATCTTCATTTCTAAGAGAAAATTTACTAACAAAATAGAATACTTATGCCTCATATTGAATCTTTCTTATTTTTTTATGACATACGGTAGGTATTAGCTCGCACAATATGTAAGTACATCTACTGCTGACATAAATAAACAAGACCATGAAACGTGTGTATGCTTCGAGAGCATTTTACCACACTAAGGACAAGAAAATCTGGTAATCAGACGTAGTTATCTGACCTTGGGTGCTAACTTATTGCTCAAATCAGTAAAGCACTTGCCATCGCCTACAGTCCTCCTCTCACAGAGCCCCTCAGTTCTGTTTCATTCTTATAGTGTGGTTGTGCTTTTCATTTTTTTTTAACCCTGGACTTGCAATACTTTTATTCTGCAGGACAGTACGTCTCCAGTTTAGAGGCAAGAACTTAAGGTTTTTCTTTAGCTACAAAAAGCACTGGATGATGTGTAAGAAAACACACTACAGATAAAATTATGAAAGAGGTGAATTAGATGACTGCCTGAAGAGATTATGCATTGCCTGAAAAGAAAACATATTCTCACATGAAAAATTCTTTACTACTAAGCTAAGCAGAAAAGCCTCATCCATTAGCACACAGAAATGAAGGTGGACAAAGTCTCTGTAATACCACAAATACATACAGGTAACTAAAAAAGGCTTTTATCTGCAGACACCATGGGAGGGAAAAAGCTACATACACATTCACACCGACCTGCATTTTGCTATAGCGACACTTCAGCCCTAGCAGGACTTCAGCCTGCATTTGCCATGATTTCAGCATTACAAAGGCTGTCTACTGCCTTCCCCTGCTGATGCAATGGGAAATTCTGGGGCCAGATTCCCCCAGCGCTGTTCTCCAGGCGATCGTTTAAGGCTGAGTACAGCAGGCCCAGCTCATGGGTGCGCTCTGACCACTCTGCCTGGGAGAGTAGCTCTGACCTGCACAAACACAGCTGACATTTGCAGCCACGCTGAGGCACCAGCGCGACACAGGGCACCGCTCGAGGTCACCGGGCACAGTCAAACAAGGGGTGCAAAGCACTGTTGTATCACAACTGTATTGGTTGCTCAGGGCAGAGGGACTTCCAGCCCTGTGAGATGATGCCAAATCAGGTCTGTTCTCCAGCCCACTTTCCTCCTAGCCTGAGCCTTCAGTGAGGACACCCCACACCACTGAACCTTGCCTGCTAAACTGCGCTTTGGATTGCAAGCACGCACATAGGTATTGCACTTGCTGTACCCACCAGCTGCATTCCAGTGAGCCAGCAGGATATTAACATTTTCAAAAAGCCTAGGTTTTAAATGATTCAGTGAAAAAGCCTTCCAGAAAGTCGGCTTCTTGGAAAAACTGCTCCTGGCTCACTACAGTAGAGGGGTCAGGCAAAACACATTTCAAATCAGGTCTGTTAACCAGTAACTGGTTTTTCACCTCCAGGACTCCTAAATGATTGCACTGGCTTAAAATTAACCACACTTAATTTTTCTTCCCCAAAGTGAGAAGTACAAGCCTGCAGGGTGGGGGGAGAAAAGTTGAAAAGTACCTAGGTAGAGACTGTGAGAAAGCATCCTCAGGAATAAAAAACGCCCTCATTCTCTACACTTCAGGACACTATCTTATGTCCTGCACCACTGCACACATATACTCACCACTACCTGTCTCCACTGTTCACCCCCAGGGACCCCCTGCTATCCTGGCCCCCTTCACAGGCCCTGTAAGCCTTGGGCTGCCTGGGAAAGACAAGCACATGCAGAGCCCTGTGAGGCTGCAGTGCCCAGAGCATGGGAAAGGCAGAGAGTACATGTGCGTGCATCCCTTACAAGCCAAGGCACACATTTCAGCTGGAGGAAGCTGGGGTCATATGAAGTGCCTGTGTTTGCTTTTGATAGCCACGAGGAAGGCCAATGAACCTGCAATGGGCTCAGAACACAGTGAGGGGATCTGCCACATCCACACAGTTCTGCCAGTTCTGCAGCATTATCCCTGAACACAGCTTCCAGCAGACAGGTACCCTGAAAACATCCTCCTCCTCCTCCTATGAGTCATGAAGCACAGCAAGCCTTGTAAGTGCTTTTGGTAACTTATATACGCTGGCTGAGGTTGGTCTGCTTCAAGGCTCATTACTGCAAGCTTGTGCAGGTTTATAATTGCAATTGCACTTGGTATATATTGTATAACTAAGCACCTGCCCATCACCAGCAGCTGTTTTACAAGAAAATGGAGGTAGAGATCACCTCTCTTTGGCTGAAGATCAACCAGTGGATAAATATGAGAGGAAGCAAACTCAGAAATGGTACCTTCTAACTTGTACCCAGGTTAGGCTTTGACAGTCCTAAGTTATAACAAAGCAATATGGCTTTTAAGCAGGAAAAAATCAAGGAAAAATGGAAACAAGTATTCTGATTTTTTAAGAAAACAGAAGGAAACTGAAAAGCAAAACAACACACAGTATCATGAGATGATACCATGTGCATCAGGAGGAACTGTAGCGCATTAAACAGTCACTCATAACAATTAAAAGCATAGTCGCTAATGCGTTCCAAGTCCAAAAAGTCACTTAGCTTTTTCTTTGTTTGGAAGCTGCAGAATATGAATTGTTACCAACAACAATTCAGAAAAGGGTCGGGCCAGGGGGAACGTGTTGCAGGTGGCCCATACAGTGAGGTACCAGCCTGATGACAATTCATTATCAAACGAAATAATGCAGGAGTATGAAAAGCTTCTTTCCCTCCAGAAAGCATATTTTACAGCATCTGGTATACCATGGAAACAGCAGCTCAAGTGGGGGGACTGTTGCACACCCAGAAGGCTTGTTTACATGGCTGGCAGTTGCCTCCCTGCAGGGAATTTGCATTCTTCCCTTCCTCTGAGCATGTATCATCAGCTGCATCTGTGGGTAGAACCACTCACAAGGCCAAGTCCTGCCCTCAGATACAGGTACAATCCCTATGGAAGCAAGAAGATTTGGGTCTGCATCAGCCAGAGCAAAGTCTGGGCATTGCCAACCATCTGTCTTGAGATATCATATGCTGAAGCTTCAGCTTGAGCAGCATACATGAAAGAGCTTCAATTGCTCAAGTATCCCCTTTCCTTTTCTTAAATAGACTCTGCCACTCCAAGACAGATACTTCAGCAAATTCCTCCTCATTGCATATTCACCTTGCTAGTTCCTCACAGCAAGGAAAAAATCTGCAGCAATGTCATCCTCTCTCCTTGCTGAAAATGGGTTTAGGCACTAAGCCAAAGTTTTCAGAAAGAGGCAGTATTTCAGAGAGTAGCAATGTGTTTTGATTTTTGGGGTGTTTAACATGAGGCATGGCCAAACTATTCCTATTAGTTGCTCAATACCGGCAGATCTCCTGGCTGCAACTGGGAATTGACTCAGATTGAGTGGAGGATGCTTTGAACATTTCAGCGTGTTGCAGCTGGAAAACAAATCATGTGGTTTATGAATTTAGCTACAGTCCTTAAGGGTCACTAGACAAAACGGTTTGAAGAGGGTCACAAAGCTGGGATCCAGCACATGCAGGTTCCTGACAGTAACTCAAAATTTGGACTCCAAAAAAGGGTCCTGGAGAAAGCAATGATGGTAGCCCTTGAATTTTGTAGCATACTGAATGCCACAGTAGCTACTGAGCTCTGTGGAGGTGGATGTGATGAGCCCATCAAAATTCACTGCAAGTGGGGAAACATTACCCATGCAAGAACAGCTAAGGCTTCTTTTGTTGCCCCTTTCTGAAAAGTATCACATATTACCTGATGTCAGTCACTTATCAGGACACCTGGGATTCAAACTTATGGCTCAGAAACCAAAGATGCCACATCCCACAACTAGTCCTATATTTGCTCCACCATCACCACCCTATAGTCAGACGTGATGTTCTGTTTCATCGTGATATTAATAACCACAGTAGCATTGTTTGACTGCACACCTCATATCAAAAGATTTAAAAATCTATACAAGTATTTAGGGTATAAAATGGCAATGAATGACATTTACAGATCAGCTTTTTAGTATTCAATGGGCTTTACATGTCTTTTTTCCTTAGACCACCTGAAAAAAACCCCAATTGCTAACAACCTAGTACCCGAAGGGATTTTTTTAAACACAAGCTAACATTTAATTAAAGCAACTTTGTATCAG